TATCTCTGATTGATCTGCTGTGAGTCAGTGGAGCAAGAGACCATTCTGTGGGTTTATAAGAAAAGATAAAAGACCCTTATAATCTCTTTCTCTTTCTCTTTCTCTCTTTCTCTCTAGTTCACTTTTATCCCTCAACGAGATGTTGCGTTTGAATGCCAGGAGAACATCTTTCATTATCAGGTCAAGGACTTTGTACCTGCTTGTGCTAAGAGCTTGGGAGAAGAAGCATTGGTTGATGCGATAAACTCTGTGTATTTGTCTCGCCTTTAGCCATGCTCGAACTGGGGACATCTCTGATGCGAGTCTGAATGAGTGTGTCTGTCCGCAAAATGTATGTGTGTTATAAAGTCTGAGAAAGTGAAAGGAGGTAGGACGGTAAGATGGGATAAAACAGATGGTTGAGCATTCATGGGAGGGATGAGGAAAGCATAGACAGAATTATTGATGAGGGAGGAGGGGGTCTTGTGTGAAGCTTCCAACCGCCTTGGCATAAAGCATTCACAAAAGTCTTTCATGAAACCCTCAGTTGTGAGATTTCACCTACAGTGCTGCGCCTGTCCACGGGAGAGGAGAATGAGATCTCAGGAGTGCCATTCATGCATGACAAACACGACCCGTTTGTTTTGCTTCCTTCACTTAGATGATTTGCAGATCAGTGTTGGGACTTAATGATTGGAACTAAGGTGGGAGGAGCATGTTGCTTTAATCTGACCAATTACAATCACATCTGTCCCCCACAAATTTTTCTAAGCGATCAGACATACAATTTTCACCTGGTGGTTGATAAAACTTCAACAACTAGGTGATCAGAGCAATCCTCTCTGGACAGGGCTGTAGCTGGGGTTTGCCGGGCCCCGGTGCAGGTTGTACCCGTGGGCCCTGTTTGAAATGGTGTAAATAGCACAAATAAATATATTGAACAAAGATACAAATTAAACAATGTTTTTTCAAGTTTGTAGGTGTTCAGGTACAGAAACGGAATAATTAAATGTAAAATAGCATTGCATAGTCTTCCCTGTATAAATTAAATGGATTAAGTCTTGTTAAAACTATAAGTAATTCAGTCAAGAGCAGTGAGTAATTTTCTTTCTTTTATAGAAAGAAATAAGGATACGACAGCAGCTAGTAAATTAGACGCAGTCACTTTAAGAGACAATGCATCCAATATAATGATACACATCTGATTTCTTTCTCAACTGTTTACGATAAGTTACAGTTTTTCAAGGATACTTACCAAGACGAGTATTTCAACATAATTTTGTATATATTTGTCTATTCAAGTGCAAGCAGAGGAAAAATTCAATTTGGTGTTCATGGTCTGTGAGATGCAGCTCTCTGCGTGAGCGCTGTGTGCACAGAACACAACACGCAGGTGCTGAAGTAAGCTCTTTCACGTCTTTTTGTGCTTGAATGTTTGAATTGGTGAGGTGTATTTGTTTGTTCAAGCGCAAAACGTGAAAGAGAACTCAATTCGGTGTTTGCGCACTGTCTGAAACGCGGCTTTCGTTTGCGCACCAAACAGCAGGTATTCAGTTCTTTCATGTCTTCGTGTCTTGAGTTATTCCATGTCTTGTGCTTGAATGCTTTAAAATCTCTTGAATGTTTAAATTGGTAAGGCTTAAAAACATGTGCAAATGATAAGCTTCCGTGATAATGCCCAGCAGTCTAGATTAAGTGGGTGTTTACACATCACTGTTGTGGCAGTTCATGTACACTACAATGGCGTTTTGGGGGCCTGAAAATGCAAACCTTTGAAAAGTTTGTTTCAAATTGCAAGTTTCAGTTTGTGTCTGTGTGAATTGTGATTGTGATTTTTAGTGCTAAATACAGTACAAACACTACAGGACAATAAAACATGGAGAGTGATTGTTTTTTTATCATATGTGACTGTGAATAAGAGTTAGAGCCCATGCAAGTTTAGTTAAATCAAAACACTCTCGTCATTAACTCATTCTCTCAATATTCTAATGAGCGCCACATTCAACTTGATAAGCATATTTCATCTCCAATCAGTCCAGAGTCAATGAGCTCTGTATTTTTTAATCTCACTGTCTCTTTCCATCCATCCTTCATTCTCCTCTCATTTCACATAACGCTAGAGCCGAAGAGTGGAGATATGGACTCATAAAGAAAGTGTGGAAGAAAAAAAATAGAGGGCTTTACTGCTTTCATTGTCATATTACTCTTTCATTCTCTCTGTCTCTCTCACTGGATTTTGTCCACCCCTGTAATATGTAAGACTGTGTTTGGGTGTGCATGCTTTTACAGCTGTTTACTTACAGACAGTGGGTGTCATTTGATGACCCCTTTTCCTTTGCTGGCTGATTGGATCGTAATTGCACTGTGTCCTTCAAGGTGCTATCAAAGTTTCTTGTAGAAGCAGTGTGAGTTTAATTAGCTATAGTTTGAGGACAAAACTGTCCTCAGAAGAGGACAGATGCATAAGAGGAGAGATGGATGCATATGTGTGTGCTTGTGATTGCCATATATATTGGGCTACAGTTAAGGTCCTTGTGATGATCTAAACTGCAATAATTTGCTCAGTTTTCTGTGTGTGTAAGGATTGCCAGTGCAGGTCGGCTGGGTTAATAGGGATGCTGTCATACGTAACAGTACTGGACAGTGAGCAGCAAAGAAATGACAAACGCAGAGAGCAAATTAGAGTCCTTGCTGTCCCCTCTAGTTTGCTTCTCTCTCACACACACACACACACACACACACACACCTGACAGTGCAAGGTCAATGTCTTTTATTGCGTACAGGCTGGCCGTGGAGCAATGTGACGCTCCAGCGAGAGCACACATACACTTTGCAACTAACAGCTTAGTGTGCGGATTTGGATTAGTTGCTAGTGGCCAACATATTCATCATGTACACAAATCTAATTATGAGAGTAATTACCTACAAGGGATTTTATTGGTCTCTTATAATGAGTCTATTGTCTGTCAGTGCAGGGAATCACAAAGCTCTCAATTGATCAGTCATGAATACCGCTATAGCTCATGTAACCATTAATGTGGATATTTTTCAGGGCTCTGAATGACAGGGTCAGTGCCGTCCATAGTGTCGACCACGGTACAAAGCAGAAACGAGAGCCTCTTAACTCTTTGCATGTCTTGGCTTTCTCCCTTTCTCCCTCACTGGCATATTTAATTACAGGCGTTTAACTGGAGAAGTCGACTCGGTGCCGTCTGTAATTATGGCTCAGTCTTTTGAGGCTTTTGTCGCGTCGGGCCCCTTGAGCTCACATTCTCATCGCCATAATTCAATTAGATCCTTCACTTAGAGCACGGAAGCCTCTCAGCATCGTCATGGCACACTATACTCCGCTTTCAGAAATGCACAACTCTAATTTATTTATTTTTTAATTCTTTTAAATCATTGCATATGTCCTTTGAGAAGAGATGTGTGCAGGTGGAAATAAATGAGCAGCTCAATTGTGTTAAAAACGCTGCACATATACATATCCATGATGTCTATATGCTTTTTCATCTTAAAGTGACAGGGATATTTTAAAGAATGTTTGTCAATGAGGTCCAAAACAACCCTGTTGGACCCCATTGACTTTTATTGTATAGACAAAACAGTCATGGTTTGTGATGGATAAACACACATATGTCAGTTGCAATTTCTCTCACAATTTTGACATTATTTCTCCTAATTGTGGCATTCTTGTGTTTGAGACTTTCTCATTCTCGTGAAGTTAGTTAGTTAATTTTTGGTAACTGCAACATTTCTTAGAATCTCACTATTTTTAGTAATAAGTGGTGTCATTGTAATGACAGCTTTTGGACTGATGAGATAAGCCAGGATGGTGTTATCTTCATTCTGTTGACTGATGACAGATCGTCTCCTGAATGCCAGTGACGGAGTCGGTTTGTCATGTGTTGGCCTGCTTTAAAAAGATGAAGAGGAGGTGGTACAACAGAAGGGGAGTGTGTGCTTGTTGGAACAAGAATGAAATCGTGCCAGTACGGTGTGTTCCCAAGACAGCATGTTCACATGAATGCCATTTTAGGATGACATTGTGTGGATATGAGTGCTTTGGATCATTGTAATGGTTATTATTTTAATGTAATCATATATTCAGAGTTGGGAAAGTAGGTCAGAGAACTTCATCTCGTAGTAAACTCAGCCCACACATACATGCAACTCTTCCCACCACGTGTGAGCAGTAATTTTTTTAACATCAAGATAAAAGTTTGAGGATGTTAAGGCTTTATGAGGAAAAAAGCCTGGGGTCAAATACAGAAAAAAAGAGCTTTTCATAGAACTGGAGAGTGAATGTTTGCCCCATGCTATATGATTCTTTAGTGCCCCCTAGTGCTGTCATCTGGTATCATGCTGAGCTGGTGAAATTGAAGAAGTGTGTTGCTGACCGAAGCAATAATTAAAACCTGCTTGTTTTATTTCTGCAATTTCAGGGTCAATGACATGGCTTTTTTTTTTGCCTGGAACTATTATACAATTCAAAACTCCATTATAAAGCACTTGAATACACATATTCTATGATGAACATTTAAATTTTTTTAAATAAAATTAAACAGGGTTTTTTTGGGGATTTGAAATTAGGCTGAAAAGGCCTTGAAGAAAAGTCTTGAAGAAAAAACTTTTATAATTGTTTATAATCTATGGTATAATCTTTCAATTAATTATTTTTTTAAAAATATGCAGGGAAGAAAATACAGTATATTTGGAAAAACTGAAATTAAAATGTTGTTGTCATCTGACAATCATCAATCAACCAATCTATAAAACTGAAAATATCACTGATTTAACCCATGTACACCATCACTGGCAGTGTATTTTTTTAAAGATCAGATATTGTAACCTTTAATGATAAGTTGTTTTGGAAAAAAAGGTTTAAAGAATAAAGAAAATTAGAAATATATATGTTTTTGAACCCCCCCTGGTATTCATGATTTCTGGTTTTCATTGTTTGATTTGTCACTGAACTGTTGCCACTGACCCATATCTATGTTCTTTTTTATGTGTTACAGATATGGAGACATGGTTCCTAAGACCATCATGGGAAAGATCTTCGGCTCTGTTTGTTCTTTGAGTGGCGTGTTGGTGATCGCTCTTCCCGTTCCCGTCATTGTGTCCAATTTCAGTCGGATATACCATCAGAGTCAGCGCGCAGAGAAGCGTCGTGCCCAAAAGGTACCCTAGACGGGCCTCCCACGACCCCAGCGTGGGTCCACGGCCTCTGATCTCACAGAGTTATACGGAGCTGGGCTCAAATGTAGATGTTCTCAAATACAAGCCGGTCTGGTTGTGGCTAAGAGATTAGACCCTGGCAGAACCATGTACACACAAACACAGAAAAATGATGCTGGGATAGTTTTTAATACAACTTGGCACAATGTGCTTGTGACCCAGATGTCTGCACGCTGAGTGGTGTGTGTGTCTCTATGGTATGTTAACTGCAGGTCTCTGTGGAACCATCATTTCTTGTGCATGCCCAGATCACATCCCGTACTTCAGCACAGCAGACAAAAATACAAACACAGAGAAACAAGACACACAGGCAGAGAAACTTTGACAACGACAGATATAAAGAAAAATGTCAGAAAAGAGCAAAAGAGAAAACGGCCACATACACACTGCAAAGTTTTGGGTGTGTTTAAAGGAATAGTTCACTCAAAAATGAAAATTAGCTTAAAATTTACTCACTATCAGGCAATCCAAGATGTAGATGAATTTGTTTCTTCATCAGAACAGATTTGGAGAAATTCAGCATTACATCACTTGCTCACCAATGGATCCTCTGCAGTGAATGGGTGCCGTCAGAATGAGAGTCCAAACAGCTGATAAAAACATCACAATAATCCACAAGTAACCCACGTGGCTCCAGTCCATCAATTAACATCTTGTGAAGTGAAAAGCTGTGTGTTTGTAAGAAACAAATCCATCATTAAGGCATTTTTACTTCAAACCGTTGCTTCTGGCCAAAATACCAATCCATAATCCATAACAACACTTTGTACCTTAAAAAAGTCCATCTGAAAAGTCCATCCAAAATCCACTGATATATTTGTTTAAACCCATTTTGGACAGTAAACGGGTCTTGATCTGTGCATATTTCTCTCCTGACTTATTGAGTGAACTATTCCTTTAAAAGCCCAAGTATATGTCCTAATTTTTTTTTTATGCCAGGGACCAGTGAATAAAATAAGTTTCATTGGGTTTGCTCTTATCGTGACTTTGATGTTTGAATAGGCAGCAAGTGGTATGCCACTCCGCTCCAATCAGTAATGATGGAATTTGCATATCCTGATGCTTAGCTTCAGGATTATTTAAAAGAAACGATTCAATTAACTCTGAAACCTCAATTAATCTGATTACTTTCGCAATTAAATTTAAATGTAAGTTTTACAGCCCTTCTGCGCAGTGACTGCCATAATCAATGAAGCTGTCCACACGCACACACTACATTTATAGTCGATGCATTAGCCTGCGGTTTAGACATCTGAATTTATTATGGCAGGAGTGTTGTGATCTGTCATTACATCTGTCATGAGCATTCCTGTCATAAATCATAATTTCATGTCCGGATGGAAAATGGTGATTGACATAGTTGTTTAAACCTTTTCTTGAGAGCGAAGGTTAGCAACATCTGTCAGTGTTTACTAAACCACACTCAACTGTTTATGCTCTTAAGTCATTTAAACCAGTTTTGTACATAATATGCGATTATTTGGTCATCATCAAACTTAAATGATGGAACTCTGTGTACAGAATGAGATTAAGCACTAATAAGAGGAGTCACAACTGTATTTAGTTGCAGTGTGTACGTGACCAATGAGACCAGGCACAGGAAGAACAGATGCTGTGTTCTGTAGCCGGTTCTCCTTTGGGGGTGATCCGAATATACAGACGTAGTGACATCACATCATATCTCATTAGATGAGTGTCTTCTCTTAATTTAGCTATTCGACTCCAGCTACCCCATGGGAGACACAAACAGTTCAGATATCCCACTCTCCCTTTGCACAAACACACACACACACACATACACAGACAGATAAACAGCACAACCAGTCCACCCATAAACAACAGTCTGTTTTTTAAGTTAACTAGGGACTGAGAACGAGAGTAGGAGAGGGAGAAGTGAGAAAGGACGTTAGGATTGTAACAATACCCTAATTTAAGTTGTCGATACTAATACCACTGAAATGTTACGATACAATTTATCTGGAGATATAAAGAGAAAAGCATGTGATGTTTTATGTTTGTTTGTTTTTTGAAGAAGCCTCTTTTTCTCACCAAGGCTGCATTTATTTGATCAAAAATACAGTAAAACCAGTAATATTGTGAAATATTACAACAATTGAAAATAACTGTTTTCTATTTTTGTACATTTTAAAATTAAATTTATTCCAAATCTGTATTTTCATTATCCATTACTCCAGTGTTCAGTGTCACATGATCCTTAAGAAATCATTCTGATATGCTGATTTGGTGCTCAAGAAACATTTCTTATTATCAGTTTTGAAAACTTAATATTTTTGTAGAAACCATGATAATTTTTTTCAGGATTCTTTGATAAATAGAAAGTTCAAAAGAATAAGCTCTTATTGGAAATAGAAATCTTTTGTGACATTATACATTTATTTTCTGTTACTTTTGGTCAGTTTAATGCATCCTTGCTGAATAAAAACTATTTCATTCGTTTTTTGTATTCTTTTGTTTTTATATTATTATTTTTATATTTTATATTTTAGATATGGTGTCAAAATATCACCTTTTTGCAATATAAACCCACCCACATTATAGATTTTTTTTTTAAATTTTAGCATCAAAGTACTTTTGACGTCTCTAAAGGGAACAAATGACACATTACCATTCTTCATGTTGGACATGAGCATGCAACCTCCAGTCAACCAACGATCACATTCACACACACATTGACCCCGAGACATGAGCATGCAGACCTCCGGTCACACCACTATTGCACACACACATTGACCACAGGAAGCGGAAGTATTAGGCTAAACACCCGTGTTTGTCCACCTGAACAGAAAACCAGGCTTGCTAGAATTCTCTTTTGTTTTTATATTATTATTTTTATATTTTATATTTTAGATATGGTGTCAAAATATCACCTTTTTGCAATATAAACCCACCCACATTATAGATTTTTTTTTTAAATTTTAGCATCAAAGTACTTTTGACGTCTCTAAAGGGAACAAATGACACATTACCATTCTTCATGTTGGACATGAGCATGCAACCTCCAGTCAACCAACGATCACATTCACACACACATTGACCCCGAGACATGAGCATGCAGACCTCCGGTCACACCACTATTGCACACACACATTGACCACAGGAAGAGGAAGTATTAGGCTAAACACCCGTGTTTGTCCACCTGAACAGAAAACCAGGCTTGCTAGAATTGGTGCGACGAAGAGCGGTGGCGCTAATGCTTATTTGCAGTACAAACGCAATGGGATGCTGGCAGACGCAGAGGAGGAGGTAACCGTGGAAACCAAGTCGCTGGGGTCTCTCTTAATGGAACGTGACATGATGGGCTGGTGCATGTGGACCCCTCTTCCCCCCCTGGTCGTTCGCCTCTCCGCCAGGGGGCCGAGGTCCAGACGCTTCCGTGGTGTTCCTCTAACTCTCTCTCTCTGTCTTTCGGTCTTTCTCGCGCCTATACCAGGTGTGCCGGCACCTCTTACTGGTGGCTGGTCATGAGACAATAATCGTGTGACCTCTTGTCCAATGGCAGTGCGGTGCATGCGGCTTGGCCTTGTGGGGGCCACGGCCATCCGCTCCAGTAACAACGGGGCCCCCCTATTTTTTACTGCAACCCTTTCCTCCATCTCTCAACTACTTTGCTTTTGGGTTTTATCTCTTTATTACCTATTGTATCTTGTCTACTTGTTGTTTTAACTGCTTTTTCCAACAACTACTACTCTTGTGCTCCATGCATTTTTGAGTGATTTTCTCACTGCTGTCCGGACTGGCCTGTGCTCGCTCTCTATCTCTCTGTCTTCATGACATCATCAGAACACATCACATGGAGGAATGAAACTGTCTGAGCTGCATGTCATTGATTGGCCAACATCTGAATGGGAGGCGGGATTTAATGTGAGTCAGAGACCACGGGGCATGTTGATCAAGTGCCTGTTGACCATACGCAGGCTCTCGATAAACAGTGCCTTAGTTCGGGGGTGTTCCATACTGCTCCTGGGGGGCCACTATCATGTAAAATTTAGCTCCAATCCGACACACCTGAACCAACTAATTAAGGGCTGCATCCGAAATCGCATACTTCCCTACTATAGAGTAGGCGAAAACAGAATGTAAAAAGAGTTCGAATTCCGAAATATTCATAAAACAGTAGGCAAAAAGTTCTGGGTTGGGGGTGGTGCTTGTTCAATAGAACTACCTACTCGGAGACTATTTGATTTTGGAACCAGCCAAGGTCTTCAAGATTACTAGAAACTTCCAGGCAAATTTGTTGGGGCTAAACTTTGCAGGACACTGGCATTTCAGAAGCAGGATTGTGCACTCTTGCCCTAGTCGTCTGGTCACTGCGTCATGCTGATTCATAAAGGCTCTAGTGAATTTGGATACGGTGGCCATCATGGTTCAAATACAGAAGATGCTTAACTTTTCCACATACTTTTCCAATAATTCACAAGTTCACACTTATAATAAATAGAGTAAAGGTTATGCGTATTTGGCGTGCTGTCCAAGGGGAGGGCTCCGAGCTCGGAATTTGGCCCAAACCCAGAGTACTCCCCCCATCCCAGGTTGGGATAGGAATAGTTAGAAGTGAGGAGATGGGGTGGTGGAGGGATGCTAGAAAACTGTCAATGAACAGAGGTAAGTCTGTTGTGTATATTTACCACTTATCTTGTTAATTAGGTTAATTATCGAACATGCTCCTCCCGAACTTTGTTAATAAAACATAATTTAGTATATCCTGGATACAAATTCAGTAGATATTGACATACACAGAATACTCTTGTTCCTGTTGTCCACTGTTTTTGAACCAAGAGCCATCCGTCAAGGTTGTGATGTTGAAAGAACAGGACGTGGCAGTAAACTAGAGCCTGCTGTTGTCACAATGAACTAGCCAAACATTCTTCAACAGTGTCTCAATGTTGCTGGATCATTGTGAGAATTCGGGCTTTGCTGTCTTGTCTTTTCTTTCAGTTTCTTTCTGTGCTGATAGGTTGATAAGCAGTGTTTTCTGTTTCTCCAATAAGGCATCAAAAGAGGCTGGCCAAGCTTTGGTATGTAAGGCCAACCCCACTTTTGATACCCATCATCACCATCTTCTGCACTGCTTGGAGAAAACCACGGTAAGAACCTCAGGAGAAAACTTCACACATAACTGGAAGCTGTTCTCAATAATTTAGCTTTTGCATTATTTGATCTTATTATATACAGGTGTTTTCTTCAGTACCTTCAATAGCTACCTTCAGTAGGTTTAGTAGCTACTGGTCAGGTGTCCATATTGACTGTATTTAAATTGATAGTTCTCACAAAGATGAAAATTGTGTCAGAATATGATGCAAAAGCACCATAAAAGTATTAAATGTTTTTTTTTTCACGTATACAAGTGCAATTTTCCAGGTCTTTCTAAAACAAAAAGGCCACGTTTTCTAAAAATAGCTTTGTTTGAGGAACAGCCTGAGTCTTTATTAGCTGCAAAACCTGGTAAGATGTGATCGCTTATGACATGATAACAATAACTGACACTAAACATGGCTTCTTTTGCCATGTTTGAATTAAACTCCATTTGAGAACTCTGACAGAGGTAAAAATAAGGGGGAAAGTGGACAAACCTTAATTTTTTTATTTTTTTGTCTGTACTCTTTAACATTAACCAGTGCCAGACGACTTCTGCACCTCAGTGCTTGTGGGTTTGCTACAAATAAGTGCAGTTTTTCTCTCGAGAAATTTTTTTTCGGACTCTTGCATGAAAATGACAGGCACTGTTGTCCCCTGCCAGCTAGACTCATGACAGTCTAGAGAACAGACTGTGACCCGCTCTGGCTTTCCTAAGGCACTAGACTCGAGACATTTGAAAGAAAAATTCCAGTCCTGCTGGATGCAGGGCTGTTTGAGGAACAGCCAAAGCTACAGTGAATCTGCATTTAAGGACTCCTCAGATGATACTCTATATACACACATTATATTATTAATTACATTGTTCTAATATAGATTAATTTTATTATGTTTAATTAAAACCGCATCAACGTCTCATGTTTACGCATTTTGAAACTTTACAACTATGTATTATTTTTTAAATATAATAATTAGTAACCACATTAATATAATAATCAAATGCAGAAATCAGTCCTTAATGAGACATAATTCCTGTCGCTTTCTCTCTCTCAGAATCATGAGTTTGTGGATGAGCAAACTTACGAGACAAACTGTATGGAGGTTTCCCTAACGAAGCCGTCCATGTCCCATTCCTCCTCGCTGTCCTCCTCTCCACACGGCCTGTCCTCCTGCTGCACGCGCAGAAACAAGCGCAAGAGCTTCAATGTCCCCAATTCCAACATGGCCGGCGGCCGCAGGAACAGCATACAGGAGCTCAGCACCATCCACATCAGAGAGAGACCAATGAGCAACAGGTGCTTTCACAACACTCATGCACACTTACACAGACATAAGGAGAAGGAATATGCTGATACTGGTTGTGGTCTGAATATATATATATAAGTCAGAGCTGTGTCTTATTTAGAAGTGTTAATAATACTGACTATGGTGAGTTTCTCCAGAAAGGGTTTGGAGAAGGGGTTTATGTAGTGCTTATAATCGAGAATGTATTTGTAGAATTAAGTGTATAGTAGTATGCAATATGTCAGTGGTTCTCAATTCCAGTCCTAACGACCGACTTATGTCAAAGTTTCATCTGTGTGTGAAGACGCTGCAGGTTGTGGCATAGCACAAATCCGTGAATGAATGTTCCAAAGCGAAGTAAACTTCAACGGATTTCTTGTGCTCAGGGAGTAGGGAGCAGTGTAGGGACCCTGTCAATCGGAACACAGTTCATGCATGGAGCTCTCTTCTTACGAGCTGATGATCTAAATCAGGTGTGTTAAATAAGAGATACATGCAAAATATGCAGAGCGGTGGGTCGCCAGGACTGGAATTGAGAACCACTGCAATATGTAGTACAAAGAATATAGACTGCATAGTAGAGTATAGATTTAGTATGCATATGTGGAATACATTGTGTAATACATAATATGCAGAATGTAGTGCATATTATTATTTAGTATGCAAATGTGAAATGATGTATGCAGTCCATAATTTTCAGTGCATAGTATTTAGTGTACATAAGTCAAATCCAGTAAAAGTGTGTAATGCATGTAATCTAGAATGCATATGTAGAATATAGTGTATTATGCATACTATGCAGTACGATGCAGTTTGCACATGTATAATGCATATTATGGAATATGCATAGAATTTATAACTTTTTTAGTTAGTATCTAAATATATGCAATACAGTGTGTAATGCATAGTGTTAGTGTGTAATGCATAGTATCTAGTGTGCATGATGAATGCAAAGTATAGTGCATAGAATTTAGTGAACATATATGCATTACACATTGTCTTATACATAATTCAGAATGCATATATAGAATTGAGTACACAATGCATAGTATACTATATGTAGTACAGAGAATGTAGAATGCATATTAGAGCACAGATTTAATATGCATCAGAATGCAGTGTATAGAATTTAGTATACGTAATATGTAAAATACAGTATGTAAAGCATAGTGTGTAGTGTACATATAGAATGCAGTATATAGTGTAGTATGCATAATAGGTCCTGTTTAGCGCGTATTATGTAAAGTGTAGTGTATTTTACGCAGGTTCACTGTATATCTGGGTATTTGGGTTGTTCTCATAGTGATTCATGCTGCTGGAATCCTGTAAAGCTCTGGTTGTGACAAATGCCAGCATACTCTGGGAACGCTATCATGATTCCCACCAACAGCTGGCGGAATTTGCCCATCAGCTGGATTGTATTCTTACCCGCCCTCTCCCCCTCTCTCTTCTAATGCAGTCGCTCCAGTCTCAATGCCAAGTTTGAAGAGACGGTGCCCCTGAATTCAGAAGAGAAATCCTACATCACTGCCGCTGTCATCAGCATGCCCACCCCGCCCGTGACCACACCCGAGGGTGGAAATTCAGCCAGCTCGCCTGACTTCTTGCAAAGCAACATTGTCAGGGTGTCTGCGTTATAGACCATCCGCCGTGACCATTAGCCATTTTATTTAGCGAGTGGACGCTGGAGCAGAACGGATCGACGGAGCCTCTAGTGTAGTGGAGGAGGCACAGCAGCAGGATGGGCCATAGCTGGACTTTTCTTTTTTTTTTTAAATCAGCTCCTGCCCAGAGCTCTCCGTCTCTGTGAGCTCCATCAGCTCCAGCTCTAGGCCCATACATCATGTGACTCATGCTGGGGTCCAATAAGCTTTCACTCAACCCATAGAGGAAAACAGTGAACACTGTGTTTGTTACAGCTTCTATAATTTTTCAGTATTGTGAGTCTTTGAATCTGTTGTCTTCAGTTTGATGGGATCGGCAGATATTTGGGACGAATAAGGAGTGTGCCAGCAGGGGCGGGATTTTACAAGCTTTTACACAGCTGTACACACTTTTGATACGACAAAGTAAAGCTGGGCTCTACTAGGGTGTGCTGTCGGATGCTTTTGCGTGCGTGCGTGTGTGTGATCGAGACCGATCTCTTGCATGTTTCGCATAAGTCTTTGTCTTTTTTTCAATTCGGCATGAGCAATAAGGATTGGCTCTTTCTGTCAGAATGTGTGCTTTTTACTTTTGCCTAGTTATATAGTATTGATCTTTCCAACCCAACGAGTGTGTAAAAACAGCTGTTTTGAGAGATGAACCTGACGATACAGGTGATAGACAAAGAAAATCTCGTCTCACACTTTCTCTGTCCCACCCATGTTGTGTTCATTCCTTGCCTGGCCTGATGAGATGTTTGTTCTTCTTCTTCTTCTTTTTTTTGTGGCAAAAAACTAAACGGAAAAGGAAACTCCTTTTGTGTTTCAATATATTTGACTTTCTCAAACTGACAGTGGAGGATTGTGGACTTGAGCTCTAATACTAGCCATTCCGTTTTATACTTCAAAGTTTGCGAGTTAACTATGAAAAGAAAAATAACGTGCTTATTTATTATCTTCGTTAAAATTATTGTGCATGTTATCGTACATATAATGAAACAGGCCAACTTGGAGCAGAGCATAGAGCCCGTCCAGGAATTTTTTTCTTCCTTCCCTTTAAAGATGTACTTTTATCAGCAAACATTCTTATATCTGTCTATTATTTCTGGATAATGGTATCACGTTGTGTGTGATGACACATTGAGAATCATCCAATCAGATTGTTTTGGAGTACTGTTTTGGAGATTATTATATCATTGTGATCAGCCGAACATGCTTAGGATTGAACTTAAAAACGTGAATCTCACATGCAGGTTTGTTTCACTTCAAAATCAAAAGAGAATAAATTACATTTTACATAAAATTGTTTTAAAAAATAAAATTTAAAAAAGATTTGAATGATAATTAAGCACACTGCACTCCACGCAAAGTCTCATTACAATATGTTTTAGTTCTTTGTATTTCTCATTCTCAATTTTCATTACTGCAATACAGTATTTTTAAAAGCAAATGTATAATGCTTCATAATGATTGTAAAAAATACTTCAGAAATGTAAATTATGCCATTACAGTAATGAAAATTGTATTTTGGCATTACAGAAATGACAGTTTTGGAGGTGTTGTGCTTAATTGTCCTGAAAATAATACACAGGATCTGTTTAGACTATGTAAGCAAAATATAGTTTATTTGATTTTGGGCAGAAATATGTCTGTGAGATTCATTCAAAATGTATTATTATTAATTAAAATGTGTTTAAAAATGTCTTCACCTGAAAGATGAATTATCTCTTCTCTGCCATTTAATGTCTGGAATTGGCAAGAAAATAGTCTATAATGTTGATATTTTTTATACCAATGTCAGTGCAATTTTTGGTGAGCTCTTAATGCGCCTTGCTCAATACACACACACACACACACACACACACACCACTGCCCTACTGCACAATGCCTGCACCCATTCTTGCTTTACCATGTGACTTATGCAACAAGATTCTTTTTGTAAAGATATGCTTTGTATTAAAAGGATTACCGGGGGAATAGAATCTCACAAATGCATATTTTTAAAGCTCAAATGGTGTTGATTATATATGATAAATGAATTTCAGTTGTAAAATACAAAAAGAAAAAAGAAAAGATGAAAACTATGAGAGATTGTTGCTAGTGCACCTGTGCTGTAAATTTGTTCTTCGGTGTAGTGAAATTTATTAGAGTTTCTACTTTTCTCCTAATTTCAGTTGACAGAAAATTAAATCTCTCACATTTTACTTTCTAAATCAACGACCGGAAAGGCTGGACCATCTGTTTAGGTTTGGAGATTTTTATTCCCCCCCCCCCTGTTTGGAGGACAGGATTGATTGAGTGCATGTGCTCACAGACTCACAGAGAACGTGTGCGTTTCTTTTCTTTTTTGTTTTTGTTTTCTTTTTTTCAGGATCCACAAGGGACTTTTAAAACAGACTTCCTGTTTGTTATATAATGTACATTTAAATGACTACCAGGTGACGATGGTCCTTTGGAATTTGTTGCAGCTTGTGTTATGGACATTACAATATATGAATTATTGAAAAACGATGAAAAAAAATGCAAACCAGTTGTTTTGTCCGGTGCAGTGTCTATGAATAAATAGAATTAATTCATTGTCCTATTAAAATACAGATAAAAAAAAAAGACTGGTGTTGTGATCATTTTATTAATCTTGGTTAATTGTTGAAACGTGTTTTCACCTTAAAATAAATACAAAATTAGGAAATTATGATTTTATATCTCAAAATTACAACTTTATAAAGCTGCAAGAAGTAGTCACAATTGCAAGAGTAAAGTCACATTATCCAATATAATGTTCACAATTGTCCATATTGCAATTGTGACTTTCACAACTATGTCATAGTGTGAGTATTTTAAACTCGGTTACCTTTATAATTATTTTTACTAAAAAAAAAAACTTTAGATGGAAACAGGCTTTCAAATGGCATCATAAAGACCTTGTGAAACCCATTTAGGTTGTGTCTGCTAGCTTCGTTAGCATTTATATGCTAGCATACTGCTAAAAATGTAAAATGTACAGTCTGTCTCTGTAAAATCATGATTAAGCATACAAAGCATTTTTGCTGCAGTTGTGCGGACATTTTTGAGGTATCATTCAGAATACGCCAAAAATGCCAAAAATTACTTAATAATTAGGTTTAGGGGGTTGTTCAAAGACCTTACCGTAAGCAGTGTTGGGGGTAACTCATTACAAGTAACGCGAGTTACGTAATCAGATTACTTTTGTCAAGTAACTAGTAAAGTAACGCATTACTTTTTTAATTTACAAGAAAATATCTGAGTTACTTTTTCAAAAAAGTAATGCCAGTTACTTTGTTTTCCCATTTATTGACTGACAAGTCTCCTGTCCCCATATTGGGAGAAATCAGAAGTGCAGAGGAATTGTGTGCGCTGTGTGAACATGATGCTACTGTAGTTCTAGACTAAATGTGAATGTGCTAGACTAAAACAGGGAAATACAAACTCAGAATATGAGGCAAACCTGCAATAATTAAATATGTTAAATAACACAAATGTATCTAAT